AATAAATAAATAAATAAATAAATAAATAAATAAATAAATAAATAGTTGGCCCAGGAATGCCCAGTTGGGGGGGCGCCTTTCATGTCTCCATTAATGAGCCCATTGAAGTAGTACCTGTTTATCTACTTGCGTTTGCACACTTTTGAACTGGTAGGTGGGCAGCAGCGGGAGCAAATGATGGGAGCGCACCACACAGCAGCACTCGGGCTACAAATGCAGACATGCACGTTGTCAACCCAGCACCCCAACCATGTGAGCCACCATGCTCCTTCCCATTCTAATATACATTAATACCTAGCTAGAAAGCCGCAAGAAATTTAGGATTGTTCATGGCCCTAAGCTAAGCTTTCATTTGAAAGTGGCTAAGAACTCACAAGTTGAAAATTAAAAATAAAATTAAAATAATGAAACCTCAGTTGTTACTGGTAAACAATGGTTCACCATTTTCATTTTCTAAAAGAATTGGAATTTTATATTAGAGCAGTGTTTCTCAACCTTGGCAACTTGAAGATGTCTGGAATTCAAGTCCCAGAATTCCCCAGCCAGCGAATGGGGAATTCTGGGACTTGAAGTCCAGACATCTTCAAGTTGCCAAGGTTGAGAAACACTGTATTAGAGAGTCTGAATCTGAATGGTTCGGGTAAAATTCCACAGTGCTGAATATATAATTGATGTCTTTTGATTGATTTTTTTTTAAAATGTCCTTTTTTCCCCTCATATTTTGTCAGCCTATAATAGAAACTTAAGATTTTAAAAATAGCGGGAAAATAATATGTGAAAGAGATGAGACAATCTGTTGGGAGAAGGAGCTTTTACTTTTTTTCTAGGGAGATTTATTTGTAATTATGAATAATGTTTCTACCTCTCCAGTCCTCTGATATGACACTTGTACTACCGGATTTCTCAAAAATTAAACAAAGGCTCCAAATTGATATCCGTAATTTGTTTAGCTAGGTGCTCCCTAACGATTTCTTTACATGCCTTAGGAAGCCATTCCCTCCTTTTATCAGTTCTCCCACATAGGGAGAAGAAAGAAGCAAAATCAGAGATGAGGATCTCTATCTTCTGCTATTACCAGACCTTCTAGCAGCAGACCCATCCCCCGTTATTTGAACATTGTCAATACTAGGGACAGGTGTGCTTGGGCAGCAATCCAGCACAGATAAGGCTTGGCAGCAATCCAGCCTGCCAAGCTCACNGCCTGCAGTACTGCACTCTACCCACTGCGCCACCTCAGCTCTGAGTAGTTCGGAGAACCGGCAAATACCACCTCTGACTGGCCCTGTCCCCATCTATTCTCTGCCTCCCCAGCTGACCAGGGGGGAATGGGGATTTTTCAGTAACCTTACCCTGCCACGCCCACAAGCCATGCCATGCCCACCAAGCCACGCCCACGGAACCGTTAGTAAAAAAAATTGAATCCCATCACTGGTTTACATAATAATAGATTATTAAGCTGGGGGAGTGGCTCCACAAGAGACCAGAAGGAACATCAGAGCTCTCTGTCCAGAATCGGGCAGTGAAATCCAACCCAGATGTTTAGAGGACCCAAGATTGAGGAGGACACAGATCACCCATAAGGGTGC